GAGCAAGTGGGTGCGGCTCAACGTGGGGGGCACGGTGTTCCTGACCACCCGGCAGACGCTGTGCCGCGAGCAGAAGTCCTTCCTCAGCCGCCTGTGCCAGGGCGAGGAGCTGCAGTCGGACCGGGTGAGGCCCGCGGTGGGCGGTGGCGGGCCGGGGGCCTCTGCATGCCGACTGGGCGGCCTGACCTGACCACGGCGGGGGACCCGGGCGGCCTGACTCGGCCACGGCTGGGGACCCGTCTGGGTTTATTTTCGAGGAGCCGGAGGCGGGAATAACTGGCAGGAGGAGGGGAGGAGGAAGTGGATCTGGGAGTCAGGGATGTGCCCATTGCCGTGGCAACGGCACGACGCGCTGTGGCCTTTTGGATCTGTTAAGCTGCTGAGCGCCGTCCTGGATCAGGGACTGTCCCTTTCCTTTGAAGCCGTGAGGGGGACAGACATGTAGCGCCTTTCCTCCTTCTGAACAGGACTCCCGCGAGGAGGCAGGAGTTGGTGAGGCTGCTTCAGGGGCGCACAGGGAGCCAGGTGGAGGAGTCCTTGCGTCCCTCTGAGCTGGGCTTACTCTGGGAGGAGCACGGGCCCAGGGTACCCTGTCTGGGCTTGCATCCTGAGCCTGTTGCAAACTGCTGGCCTGACCTTGGGATGGGACCCTTCGCTGCCCTGGACATTGCCTCTGCGTCTGTAACCTGAGGCTGGTCTGGAGATGATCTTGTGTCCCAGCCCATGCCCCTCTGATGCTGTGACCTTGGGCAAGTCCCTTTTTTTGTCTGTAGAGTTGTGCTGAGGCCACCCTGTCCCCCTGCAGACCATGGCTGCCCAGTGAGATAGTGGCTCCTTTGGAAACTTGTGACCATCCTTTGGGAGATGTGGGATCTGATGGGGATAGTGGGCTTCAGGAGGACAGCCTTAAAGAAGGAATGGTACTGAGCCCTTCCCTGTCCAGAGACCACTAGACCTCCTCTCACTAGTCACAGGAGAAAACGAATGAGACTCAGAGGCCAAAGCATTGGCCCAAGGTCACACAGTTAGGGAAAGGCAGAGGCAGGGTTTGAACCCAGGCCCTTCTGACCCCTAAGTTCATTTGCTTTACCATGTGTCTTCATACCCAGGAAGAGCAGGTGCTATGCTCACTCCTTCCCTCCCTGTGTCCTCTGTGCCTGTAGTCAGACTGTGTAGGCAGGATGGGGGGGCTCGCGCTTCCCCTGTCACTCCGTGTGGCCCTACCCTGCAGGATGAGACGGGAGCCTACCTCATCGACCGCGATCCCACCTACTTCGGGCCCATCCTGAACTTCCTCCGGCATGGCAAACTGGTGCTGGACAAGGACATGGCCGAGGAGGGTGAGTTGGCCCTGGGACTGGCCTGGGGCCCACATCTCAGACCTGCCCTCTGCAGCCTGCCAGGGCCTTATAGAAGCCCAAAGCCATCTCTCCCAGCCAGGATGGACATCTTTTCCCTGCGTTCCCTGCGTCTTCCCACCTCTGACAGGGCTGGTTCTCAAAGCTGCCGCTCGGGCTGCACGTGGGGGCTCTGCCATGCTGACAGGCTGAGCTTCCGCTGGGTGCTGTGGGAGTGACTGAGACACACAGGAGATGAGGAAGCCAGGCCCTGCTGCCTCTGTGGCCTCCTGGGAGGCTAAGTGTGGACTGTCTCACCTTGAGGCTGGGGCGAGGGGACAGCGTGAAGGACAGGGAAAGGCCAATGGAGCCCTTCCTCTGGGGATCCAGTGTCTCACATTCTGCCCGGCCTGGCAGCCTCTGCAGCTTGGTGCCGGCTGTGGGATGCAGGGGCAGGGAGGCCTGCTCTCTGCCATGGCTTTGGTCCCTCCCAGAGACCCTTGTCTGGGCCTAGCAGATGGTGCGGAAGGTGTGTCTGGGAGCGGGGTCATTTAGCAGAGCCCCAGCCAGGAGAACGGGCCACTGTCGATGGCCATACCTTGTAGCACAGGGTGTGGCTCTGGTCACCTGACTCAGGCCAGCTTGGACATGTCAGTTTGCCTCCCATTGTGCTCGTATATGCAAGGACCTCAAAAATTTTATGGAAAAATGGAATTAAATAGAAGGTTTTTTTTGTTTGTTGTTTTGTTTTTTTGAGAGGTTTTTGCTATAGGGCGTGTGCACTTGCCAGAAAGACAGAGACAGAGAGAGAGACAGAAAGTGAGAAATCACCCCTCGGGGGGATGACCATGCCACAATCCCTTCTCCTCCATTCCCCTTTTGGGATCTTGGGCACGCACACACACGGCGTGAGTTTAAGCCACCAGATCTGGGACTCGAGCTGCAGTTGACTACATGGGTACATAGCCATTATGCCAACTGCTGGTCCTAAATACAGTAAATACATACAAATTTATTTTGGTGCAAGATAAGTTTGAAACCATGCATAGTTTTTTTAATAGTATGCATTTCCCGTGAATTCTCTGAAGACCCCTTGCCTATAAAGTGGGGACAGTGATCTGCATTCTGGAGAACATCAGGACCACAGGTGGCACGAGTCCCATACACGACACTTCACTGTGGTTGTCCAGCACAGCCCCCACCCCTGGGCCATGGGCTTACACCCTGACTTTGGTGGGATATAGCATTGTAGGCCAAGTGGCCCTCCCAGCAGCTCAGAGCCTCAGCATTGGAACCCACCATCACACCTAGCTCTGCAGAGCCCCATGGTGTTCCCCACTCTCTCTGGGAGAGTCCAGATCCCATGGGTGTGGCCAGGGCCCAGGAGCCGGTCCCAGTGGGAGGGACTGGTAAACACCGGGCTACGTCACAGCTGCTGTCTGTTTACAGGTTCTGGCGTTCTCAACGCCCTGCCGCGCCCAGCACTTTGAGGCAGGAATAGGCCTCCATCCAGAAGGGCAGGGATCTAAGTGGAGGTGCACTCGCTGTGCAGCACTGGGAAAGCTACTTAACCCCTCTGTGCCTCTGTGCCGCTAGCTATGACTGGAGGTAATAATAGCATCGGCCTTACTGAGCTATTATGAGCTCGAAAGCGCAGAGAGCAGTGTAGCACTGAGGTCGGGCCGGCCCGAGGATGCGTGACTCAGTGCAGGGCTCCGGCAGGGCACTGGGGAGCACTCTGGGGTGGGTCCTGCGAGGGTTCAGGACAGCGAGTCCATGAGCAGTCGGCCCTGTTGTCCGTCCGTTCAGGCCGCTAAAACAAAGTATCAAAGGTAGGGTGACTTCAGGACAGCGGAAATGCCTTTCGTGTCACAGTTCCAGAGACAGAAGCCTGGGCTCAGCCCTGCATGGTCAGGTTCTGGCGAGGGCCTCTTTCTGCCTGCAGGCTGCCGGCTTCCTTGTGTCCTCACAGGGCGGGGGAAGAAGGGAGCCCGCTCTCTGGCCTCTTATAGCGTGAAGGTTAGGGTTCCACGCTCATGACCTCATGCCCTCCTAAGACCTCACTGCTCCTCCTACCCTTACATTGGGGGTTCGATTTCAGAGCAGGGGTTTGGGAGGGACATAGGCAGTCCTTCATAGGCCCTGGTTGCAGGGCACCCAGAGGCCAGTCAGGAAGGACCGTAAGGAGCCCTGCCCGGGGTAGCGTGAAGAAGGTGAGCTGGGAACCACTGCACCTTGCTGGTGGGGTAACTTGAGGCATCTCTCAGACATTCAGCTGCTCCGTGGGGGGCAGGGGCCGTGATGCCCACTTTCCTCAAGGCCCCAGGGCCCGGATGTATGCAGGGGGGCTTTGCAAAGCACGAAGGGCAGGCGTTGGGGCACACGTCACACAGCGTGCTCTGCCCTGGGAGAGCCCGGGCCCTGGAGCGGAGGGCCATTTCATTCTGGCATTC